CCAGCACTAGTAGCAAAGTTCAGCAAAACAGAAAATAACAAATGCTGACGGGGATGCAGAGAGATTAGGTCTCTCATACACTGTTGGTGGGACTGTAAAATGATACAACCACTGTGGAAAGCAGTAAGGTGATTCCTTAAAAAGTTGGAATTAGAAATACCATTTGATGCAGCAATCTCATTACTAGGTATATATCCTAAAGAAGTGAGAGCCAGAATAAGAACAGATATATGCACACCCATGTTCATCTCAGCACTATTACAGTAGCAACCTAGGTGCCCATCACAAAAGAATAGATAACCAAACTATGGTACATACACACAACGGAATACTATGCAAGCCTAAAGAATAACTGAATCTGAAAACACTGCATAATGTGGATGAATTTGTAGGGCATTATACTGAGTGAAATAAGGCAATCACAGGACAAATATTGTATTAGTCCATTATTGTAAAAGACTCAAGGAAAGGTTTATCTATGGAAGGAAATTTTCTTTGTTGGTTACCAGGGCTGGGAGGAGAGGGGAGGGAACACTGCTAGATAGGTAAAGACAAGTATTGATTTGGGTGAAGAGAAGGACAATGTACCAAATATAAGTAATCAACACAGTGGCATTGAGGAAGAGGAAGACATAGAGAGATCCATGGGAGGTACAGACAACAAAGATGAACCCTTTTGCACATACAGTACTGCATTGCCAGTGATGGTAAACATTGATCTACGGGGTGGATAGATGGGTGGGCAGGATGAACTATTAGGTATGTCTATGCAGGGTGGAGTGTGCCCATGACCATGAATAGGGTTTGCAGACAATGTTTCTATAAGTGCATTTGTATGTTCTGTAAGAATTCCCAGGTATATAGTAGAGCTGACAAGGGACAAGGTTGTAGTTACTTCTTGGCCACAGCCAACTACCCAGAGAGAGCTAATAATTGGACCTGTGAGCTCAGGACCATAGCCACAGAAGACATCAAGCTCAATTGGCATAATGTACTACACAAAAAACATACTACACACACACACACACACACACAAACTCACATCCTACTTTGGTGACTGGGATCTTAAAAGCTTGCAAGAGACCATCTAGATGCAACAATGGGTCCCTCCTCATCCAGAGGAAAGAAGAATGAAGAAAACCAAAGACACATGGAAACAATTAATCCAAGCAGCTGGTACACTATGTGATCCTCAGCCTATACACCTATGAGACCAGAAGAATTAGATCATGCCCAGCTACCACTGTCAACCACTTGGAGGGGGATCTATGTAGGAGATCCTGGATAGAATGGGAGAACAATGTGGAACAAAACTCAAAATCATTTAAAAAAAAAAAAGGACTGGGTGTGCTGGTCTGATAGAGCCTGATGGAACCACTGAGACTATGGCCCCTAGCTGCCCTTCAGGTCTGGAATTGAACCTACTCCTGTGGCATATCAATATTGTCAAACAATAGACAGGCATATGAGCTGAACATTTACATTAGGTAGATACATTCCCTGGAGAGATCAATCATGGGAGAATAGAAAGACTGTGTATGCACAGGAGACAGCTCAGGGGGTAGGAGTGCATGGAGGGAAGGACACAGAAAGAGGTAACTATGGGGAGGAAGTGGGAAGGGAGCTGTTGCATTATGGAAAATTGCAGTCAATGTCATGAGACAAAGTATATGTCAACTGCTGTGTGGAAAATGAATTTGCTCTGTAAACTTCCACCCAAATCACAATAAAAATTTGAAAACAAAAAAGATTTATAGCCTTGGAAACCCAATGGTCATTATGAGTTGGAATCAACTTGATGGCAGTGAGTTTGGTCTGGTTATGAGGCATTTGAAGAAGGCCTCCAATATGAAAGGCCAAAACCAGAATAAATAGAAAAATGAATAGGAAGAAATCAGAAATGATACAGAAAATAGAAAATGTTTTAAAAAAATCTCTAGTTCATATAATTAGTATCTTTTGAGAGAAGCATGAAGATATAATATCCACAAAATGAGAACAGAATTGTATGAAATTAAAATATGTTTAGGAAACTGAAGATTTTAATTGAGGGTCTGGAATATAAGTTGAGAAAATCTCCACTGAATGTAAAATAAAAACTTAGAGTGAATACGTTATCCACAGGATGGGGGGCAGTCTTGGTTGTCAAAGCTGAGATGTCCCCCTTCTGGAGCGTCCTATTGTGGAAGTTAGAACAAAATGAAGAGAGAGGAGAGAAAGGCCACCACACAGAGGTGCAGCCTGGCATGAAGGGTGGGACTTCAAGCAGGACGAGGAGCGTATCCACATTGGGGTATGTCCTGATGTGAGGTGCTCAGGGCCTGAGTGGAGTAAGAAGGGTGGCTGAGCAGGGTGAGTGGCCTGAGGAAAGTATCTGGGGAGAGGTGGAAGCAGCTATGGTCCTGCTATGGGAAACTGGATGCATAGAGGGAGATCAACAAAGTAAGCATATAATGGGAGTGTATATATATATATGTTGTTGTTGTTGTTATGTGCCGTCGAGTCAGCCCCGACTCATAGCGACCCCTCCTTGGGTTTCCAAGGCAGTATCACTACGGAAGTAGAATTGCCCAACCTTCCTTCCAAGGAGTGGCTGATGGGTTTGAACCGCCAGCCTTCTGGTTAGCAGTCAAGTGCTTTAGCCACTATGCTACCAGAGCTTATATATATATATATATATATATATATATATATATATATATGGTAGCTCAGGTTGGGAACTAGAGTTCTTCATAAGTTCACATTTGTTGGGAACTAGAGTTCTTCATAAGTTCACATTTGTAATCTATGGACTGTTTCTGTGTGTATGTGTGTATGTATATGTATTTATGTATTCTGTGTGTATATGTGCATAGAAGGAATAGCAACCCTCTAATAACAATTAGCACACCTAGTACCATAATGTTGGCTTCTAAATACCACACTCCACTAAAAGAAACCAGGGATATTTGGAGAAATGGTTGATTACAGAGATGGAGCAGGGAAAGTACAAGATAAACCTGGAATATTATATTGTGCCACAGAGTAAGGAAGTGCTCAAAGAATGAAAAAAAACATAGAATCCAGCTTGAAGAGACTCCACTGGCCAAATCTAGGACAAATTGAGCTTCAAAATAAATAATCAAAGTAACGGATTGTAACTCAATGAATAAAAGAGGAAAACAGAAGCCCATATAGATATAAATAAATAAATACATTGAAATTTTATAAGGAACCAGATATTGACAAGTTTCAAGGTACAGAAAACATTTACTAATGACCACCTTAGCAAGTAATCTAAGTAAGCACTGTTATAGGACCAAACACGGGTCCCTGCCCAGTGCGCAGTCAGGCCAAAACAGTTTACACACTGAGATTAAGAGGAGAGAAAATTATTTATCGCAAAGTGGCAACACAAGGAGTAGGGGTATCCTCATACCCAGATCTGACTCCCGGAGATGGCATCAAAATACAGTTTTCGTAGATGTCAGAAGGGTTTATGCATATTCACAAAAGGTTTAGGAATTTGGGGCATGAAATGGGTGATGATTGCACACAGAGGCATTAATCACACCAGCTTCCTGTCATCAGCTGATGGGGGCTTGGGCAGAGGAGAGAGGATCAGTTCCCATTTAACTTTTGTTCCTTTCTGCCCTATTGTGCATGTCTGCAGGCCAGAGTTAATTTGCAAGTTGTTTTCTAAGACACTTTTAGTGAGTCTATCACCTGCAGGAAAGAATGTTTTCCTTCCATTCAGTTCTTTAAGGAACTGAATACTCATCTGCCTGGGGTGGGGAAATAGTTGAGGGTAATTTAGTTTACTTATCTATTCCCATCTGGGTACCAGGGTGGGGGAAATAGTTTTTACTTTACTTGGTTTCAGCACTGTCAGTAATGGGACAATGCAAAATTATACACAGCTCAGAGGATGTAATAAGAACACAGTATGAATTCTGTCCTATTCCTGATAAAGATGTATTATCTAAATCTAACATCATGGAACATCAGACAAGCCCAAGTTAAGGAAAATTCTACAAAATTACTGGTCTGTAACCTTAGGAAGTGTCAACGTTATCAATGTCAAGGAGAAACTCTTTCAGACCATAGGAGTCTAAGAGACATGACAACTAAATGCAACATGTGATTCTAAACTACATTATTTTTCTGTAAAACACTTTATCGGGACATTTGGCAAAACTTGAATAGGATCTAAGAATTGAATGGTAATAACATATTGTTACTGTATTAATTTTGATATTTATATGGCAGTAATATAGGAAAATGTCTTTGTAGACAATGCACACTGAAGTACTACAGAATGGTAGAGCAACAGGTTAACAACTTACCTTCAAACATTCAGAAAAAAACATTTTATACTATACTTGTAACTTTTATGTATGTTTGAGGTTGTTTTTAAAAAAGAAAAGAAAAGAACTATGTAGAAGAATATCTTTCTGTCATGTAGGTAAGAAATAATTCCTAAAATTAAATTCCAAAAGTTTAAAATAGAGCAAATAATTGATAAAGCTGATTACACTAAAATTAAAATCAAAGAACAGAGAAGACAAACTACAAGCTGAGAAAAGATACTGTAATACAACCAACTGACAATGGATCAGTGACAATGTAAGAATGGCCTCATGACAAGAGAAAATTGCCCACTAGGAAGGGAAAAGGGAGGATGTGGTTCCAGGGGCCATGGGAACACAGTTATCCAATTTTTTTTCTTATTATGGTAAATAATAATAATTATATATATATATATATATATATATATAACAAAATGTTTGCCTTTTCAACTTTTGTATCATGGGAGTATTCAAACTTCATTAGAAATCTTAGCCACCAATAAAGATGTTTCCCTAGGTTTCCTGAAAAGCTGAGTTTCTTAGTCTCAAAACTCATTCACTTCTCTTAGCATGTTCACAATACATCCAAAAACTATGAAGAGGGAAGATTTAGTTATTTTTGCCACTGTACAAACAGAAAAACAAATCCAAAGAGAAGTGACCCACTCATTGTCACTCCTTTTTACAAACTAACCAGTACCTCCCTAATCTCTTCACTGCTGCCTGCATCTCCTGGTTCCTCAGGGTGTAGATCATGGGGTTCAGCATGGGGGTCATGACTGTGTGGCTGATGGATATGGCCTTGTCCATGGAGAAAGGGCTGAAGGGACGGGCATAAAGGTAAATACTTGGAATGAAGATCATAGACACCACAACGATGTGGGTGGTGCAGGTGGATGCTGCCTTCCTCCTCGCCTCCACTGGGTGGGACCTCAGCATCACCAGGATGGTCGAGTAGGACATCAGGAGGAGAAAGAACCAGATAGCATCCAGCATCCCACTGTTGCAGATCATGAGGAACTCCAAGATGGCGGTGTCAGTGCAAGTTAGTCTCAGTACTTGTGGAATATCACAGTAGAAGTTATCCAGCACGTTGGGGCCACAGAAAGGGAGTGGGAGCATCAGACACAGTTGGACAATGGAATGAAGGAAGCCTCCCACCCAGGCAGCCACCACCAGCCCCACACAGAGCTGAGTGTTCATGATGGTGACATAGTGGAGGGGCTGAGAGATGGCAATGAGGCGGTCATAGGCCATCACAGAGAGAAAGAAGACCATGGCACCTCCCAGGAAATGAAAGAAGAAGATCTGGGCCATGCAGCCCTGGTAGGAGATGTTCTTATTCTCAGAAAGGAAGTCAACCAGCATCTTTGGGGCAGTGACTGAGGAGAAACTGAGATCTAAGATAGCCAGGTTTCGGAGCAGAAAGTACATGGATGTGTGGAGTCGGGAATCAGAGGTCACTGTGACCACGATGAGGAGGTTTCCCACAACAGTTGTGGTATAGACAAACAGGAACACCAGAAACAGAATATACTGGAGTTCTTGAGTCTGTGAGAGACCCAGGAAGACAAATTCTGATACCCATGTGAGGTTTCCTGGATCCATGGTATTTTCTCCATACACCTAAGGAAAATAAGCCACAGACATAGATGCATGAAGTTGCCACATGCCCTTTTAGTGTTCAGAGGCTGAGAATGGATTTGTCCAGGTCCATATGATGGACATCTTCACAACCAGAACATAATATTAGGTGTAGATTAGTGGCTCTATTTTTGGGGAGTTTACAAGTTGGGTGTTGGAATATATATATAGCTTAAAGCTACCCAGAAACATATGTGACCTGTCTCCATGAATTGTATGAACTCAGTGTAATATAGTGGAAAGGTACTTGGAGTCAGATGACCTGGACTCAAAGTCAGGTTCTTCCATATACAGCAATTTAAACTTCAGTAAATACTTAATCCCTGTGGGGTCTCAGTGTCAACACTTGTAAAGTGGGAATAGAATTTCTTTCCTTTTGCAGTTGCTTTTGGGCTAAAAGAGAATGACATATATAAAGGTTCTAGATCAGTGCCTGGAACAGTAAATGATAATCATCTCCCCATCACTCTGAAGCCTATTAACCTAAACACACTCTATTTTCTTCTAATCTCCCATTTTGTACCAATAATTTTCTGAATAGCGATTATAATGTTGATGAACTTTGCATGTTTCTATGGTCTATTCTGCCACAATTCAACCATAAGTTCTTCATGGCATAGATCTGGATTTACAATTGCATAGTGCCTATCCTTGCCTACAGTCAGTACTCAGTAAGTGTGGGACATTGACTACAGGGTGAATAAATAGTTACAGGGTAGGCAAGTCAGTACAAGTGAGCCTCTGGACATGGCTGGACACTGAGCCTTCCGGATGACCTCCCCAACATAGATAGTGCCTTACTGGGGGAGGTCAGGATGCATGCGGTGTGTTTGCTAAGATAAGAGGGAGAGGAGCAGAAGATTCATTAGATTAAGAAATGGATGATGAATGTTGTATGAAGGTGACTCCGAGTTTTTCTGAAAGGGACAGCAATTTTAGACAATGTTATTGAATCTTATGGTAGAAGAGAAAAGAAACATTGAAAGAAGAAAAAGAGAAATAGATGAAGGTGATTAAGAGGAAGGGAAATGGAGCAATAGAGCAAGTGAAGTAAGGGAAATGGAAAGTGGAAGAAAAGGGATGAGACTAAAGATGGAAGAGGAGACGGAGGAGAAGAGATAGAAGGTGACATGGAAAGGAGGTGAGTTGCCTCCGATCCCTTTGCCTGAAGCCCTTATCCTCTCTCACCTGGACTATTGGCTCTATTATCTATTACAGATCTTTCATTCCCATATTCTGCTTCTATTTGCTTCCATTCCAGTCCATCTTCCATCCTCCTGCCAATGAGACTTTTCTAAACCCAGATCTGGTCAGATTTCTTCCATACTTTTTTTACTGACTGCTCTTTAGTGTTCCTATGGAGCCACATCAACTACTTTGTGGATCAAATCAGAGTAGACTCTTTCTCAGCATATCATACAAGGCAATAAAATATAGGCCCCCATCTACCTTTCTAATCAGTATTCCTGCCACCCAAGAACAAATTGCTGTTCAAGGAATTTATAGCTTCTCGCATAAGCCATATGCTCGGCTATTTCCACATCTCTGGTTCTTCGCTCTGTTTGTTTAAAATACCTTTCACTACCTTCTCCACTTAGAAACATTTAAATATCCCCTTCTCTATGACTCCTTTCCCCATTTTTCCCATCTGGGTTCCTGTAATACCTTATAAATACCTCTCTTACAGCATTTATCATTTGCTTTTTCTGTTGCTCCTCACCCCAACTAGATTGTTAATTCAGTAATCTAGGACAATAACCAAGGACAGCAACTCGGATTTAGCAGTTGCTCAAGAAATATTTGGCAATTTAATGCATTAAGTAGGTAATTATGTTACCTCAGTATGTGGAGAATCTTGGAGTGAGTTTGGTTATCTTTTGCTCTCAGCATCTTCTCTCTAAATCCTAGGACAAATTCTATGACTAGTTGTTAAAAGTTTGTTTTCCCATGCAACGTGAGGCAGCTGTTTCAGCAGCACATTCCTTCTGCATTATTCCTGAAGCTCTCCTCTCACTTTAGACCTATTACCATCAGGTCTATCTGTCTAGTTTCTATTCCTCCTACCCTCCAGCAGATGTTGCATATCCTTCTAATAGTGGACCTCTCTGCAGGTGAGGAAACCCTGGGTCTCTCACCTTTCTTTAGCCCAGATGAGAGAAGGGCTTCAAGCCTCGCATCTTCTTAGAGCTCCTTTCAGCTCAGCATCACCGTTTTCCAGCCCCTACACTACAATGGACTAACCTGAGAGGAAGAGGGAATATCCTTGGGGAGAAACTATTGTACTTGGCTCAGGAAGTAGAGTGGGGCTGATTACCACTTGGGACAAAGGAACAATGGGAGTTGTTAAAAAGTTTCAACATATATTCTTTGAGAAGTCTGCCTTAAGGGCCAAAAGCACCAAGGACATTGAAAATTTTTAGAGATTTGGGGAATGTAGGGTTAGCTGTTGTTTGGCTAGATGCAGTCTTCCAAACTTCTTCTCATAGACAAGCAAGCGCTTTCAGCATTGCATCATGAGTTTGTTGAAACATCTCAATATGTATTCTATCAATTTCTGAAGGCTTGTTTTCCACCAATGCCTTCAGTGCCACTTGGACTTCTTCCTTCAATACCATCGATTCTTGGTCATATGCTACCTCCTGAAATGGTTGCACATTGACCAATTCTTTTTGGTACAGTGACTCGTGAATTCCTTCCATCTTTTTTTGATGCTTGCTGCATCATTCAATATTTTGCCCGTAGAATCCTTCAGTATTGCAACTTGAGGCTTAAGTATTTTCTTCGGCTCTTTCAGTTGAGAAATACCTTACCCAAGCCATAGTATTTTCAATTGCCTTATATGCCTGCAAAAGCTGGACAATGAATAAGGAAGACCAGAGAAGAATTGATGTATTTGGATTATGGTGTTGGGAAAGAATATTGAATATACTGTGGACTGCCAGAAGAATGAACAAATTTGTCTTGGAAGACATATAGCCAGTTTGCTCCTTAGAAGCAAAGATGACAAGACTTCATCTCACTTACTTTGGGTATGTTATCAGGAGGGACCAGTCACTGGATGACATCTTGCTTGGTAAAGTAGAAAACCAAAACCACACTCACTGCCATTGAGTCATATCCAACTCATAGCAACCCTTCCTTGGGTTTCCATGGCAGTATCACTATGGAAAATTGTTCAACCTTCCTTCCGAGGAGTGCATGGTGGGTTTGAACCACCAGCCTTCTGGTTAATGGTCAAGTGCCTTAGGCACTACGCCAACAGAGCTCCTTGGTAAAGTAGAGGGCCAATAAAAAAGAGGAAGATCCTTAACAAGATGGATTAACACAGTGGTTGCAACAATGGGCTCAAGTATCACAATGATTGTGGGGTGGCAGAGGACAAGGTAGTGTTTCATTCTGTCACACATAGGATCCCTATGAGTCGGAAGCAACTTGGCACCACCTAACAACAACAACAAGGATTAACAGGCCAAGATCTAAAAGGACAAGAGTTGTTTAAAAGAAACCTACTCTCTGGAAGTTGTAGAAGAACCAGTTCTTTAAAGCAGTGATTCTCATCCTTGAGAGCGCATTAGAGTCACCTGAAGAGCTTGTTAAAATCCAGAATTGTTGATTCAGTAGATTAAGGGTAAGACCAAGAATTTGCATTTGTAATGAGTTCTCAGATAATGCTGATATTGCTGCTCCAGCAAGGCACCTTGAGAACACTCATTGCCCCATGTCACAGTTCTCAGTTTGCTCATCAGTACTATGGACCATTTTCTATCATGCGGTTACCAAGATAACTTGTTTGTTTTCCTCCTTATTTTGTTAAAAACTTAACTGATATTTACTTGGACAAAGTCGCAAGTGGGAAAATATTTGTATACTACATTGGAAACCAAATATCCTGTAATCCCTGCCCTTTATTTTATCAACCAGACCCCAAAACTGATTCCCCATTCACATCCAATTCTATTCAAACCATCTATAAAGTGCTAGCATTCTTTGTATGTGAAATATTACTCCTTTCAATACAATGATTGGTACAGGAAGCCCATGTATTTTCTCATTATGAAGAACTGACCAGAACTGGAATTAACTGGCATTGTAACCTGGATGAGTTACACAAATTGATTTCTTAGAACTCTCTGACCTACACAGGGTTTCCAGGGTGGTTTGAGTTCTTTCATTGCAAACGTTTATACTTGGCAAAATAAAGTGCTTCTGGCAGCAAAAAGGAGCTCTGGTGGTGTAGTGCCTAAGGCATTTGACTGCTAACCAGAAGGGTGGTGGTTCAAACTCACCAGCCACTCCTTGGAAAGAAGGTTGGGCAATCTACTTCCATAGAGACACTGCCTCAGAAACCCAAGGAGGGGATGCTATGTGTCAAATTGACGGGACGGCAGTGAGTTTTTTTAGGCAGATAAAAACACAATGTGAGGCTCTTCCATTTAAAATAGATACATATATTTTTTTTAAGACTAATTCTTCCCAATATTTAGGGTTTTAGTCTAATTTAAAATCAAGCCACTTAGAAAAGAAGTCTGTGTTGGTTCTGGGGAAGGGCACATGACCTGTCAATCTGATTGACATGGATGGTTCTGAGTTACCTGGACTCATTCTTTATGATTCTGATTTAGTTCTCAATAACGGAGTCCTGGTATGTTCTAGTTTATATATTTCTCCTGTCAGGCACATGTGGGTCTGTAAAATGTCTACCAAACCTCATCAGTTCGGTGCATCCAGTAGCCAACATGATGACTGCCTGAGTGGCAGGAATGGAATAATTATGCTAAATACCCAGTTAGGGAAAACTGAGCTGAGAGAATTATTTCCCTATGTACCATATTTCTAAGGAAATGTTTTTCATAAATATATCATAATTTTATTAGGAAATGTCTTAAATGTGTAAATGCTCATGGATATAGCTATATCATTTAAGTGTGGGTATTTCTCAACAAATTTGGTTAAAAATCAAACAC